CAATTTGGTGGCTCGCACCATGCCGAGCCACCAAATAGTGTCAATAGATTCATTTGGAAGCATTTTAAGCAATTCGTATTCATGCATAAGATTGCTAATTTTAGATTTATTGACTTGAGGAGTTCCATCATGAGTCACACGCGTTTTTCCCAAATCTCATGTGTGGTTGTGCAAGTGGAGACTATATTAAATTCAATTGGGGTAAGTCCACAAATCAAAGCATTCACAGCCGTAACATTTAGAGTACCTAAATGTTTTTCGTTTTCGGTCATGTTACGACTATATTTTTCAACATATTCTTTTTCAACAATATCTAGGATGTCAATATCAATACATCTTAAATAAATGTGCATCCTACCTTTCCAATATGCAAAATTATTGTCATTAAACAAATGGGGCCTAGATATGGATTGACCTTCAAGAGCATGCACATTCATGTTTCATTCCATATGGGATCTTTACTTTAAGGTGATTAAACCAAAATTAAATAGAGATCAAGCTCTGATACCAATTGAAAGTACCCTAGAGGGGAGGGGGGGTTGAAGGTGAATAGGGTAATCAAACAAAATGTGCAACTAATAAAAATACAATTCAATTAAAGACACAAAATGTGACAATAAGAAAAAAATAAAAGAGAGAGGGTGAGAGATAGTTAGCTAATGAAGACAGCGATATGTTCACGAGGTTCGGTCACTCTCAACCTACGTCCCCGACCACCTCTCCTAATGGTAGTCAACTCCACAATCCGGTTTGGAAGCCGGAACTTCTTACACAATGATCTCCTCGAGATCTAACTCTCCACACAAAGTCACACAATACAAGATGAAGATAATAATCTCTCTTACAAGAATCCTATGACAATGATGAAGAGATTGACTATTGAAGCACTTGGATTTGTGAATATATAAAAGTGAAAGACTTAGAAGAGAAAAGGCTTGAGAAATTTTGATTTGAAATTTTGAATCACAAGTTGCCTTGTTGTTCTTTTTCCTTAAATCAAATGGGTCTTTGAGGACTACTTATAGCCTCTCAACCACATCAGAAGGTATGGGCTCCAAATCAGATCAAATAAATTTATACAATGCTGGAATATCGATGTTTGCTAAGTTTTGTTGTTGATGAAGCTCTTCTTGAATATATACTTGAACGCTCTTTTAAGTAGATATTTGCTTGAGTTGATCTTTGAGCATTTAAAGCTTCTTCATCAACTTGCCTCCATCTCCATGAATATCATCGTTAACGTGCAAGTCCATCCATCCTCCTTTACATAACACTATATTGCTTGATAAACATATCCCGTGTGGGATCACTTGACAAGCAATTAGTATCAATAATTGAGTTTGTAAATTATCATCAAAACATGAGACCTAACAAATACTTCATGATTGCTTTTGTCAATACTCTTCATGTAATTACCATTATCATGAGCCCATTGAAGGAAATTACATTCTTTCTTTGAATACTTAGTGCAACTCCAGTAGTAACGGTCAATATTTTTACCATTTTTGCATTGCTTCAAGGGTGTTAGGATTTTATAGTTGCACCATATTTGCATCTCTATCCTAGTTGATGAATTCTTTCATGTAGAGGCTTCTTGCCCGCAAAAAAAACTACTCATGAAGATAGTAGAATTGAGCTATTTTTATAGCCATTGTAAAAACCTAATCATTTATAGCCGTTGGAGTTTAAAATTTAATAGGTATGGTTACTCCAATTGATGTACAATCGTATTGTTCTCTTGTGACAATTGTATTGTTCTCTTGTGGCAGGTAGCTCACCAAGGTAAGCATATTCACCTATCACTCTTTTGAAAATCCTAAATTATGTTTAGTTCAACTATAGATTACAAATTTTAAAATTTGTTGTCCTACAATTTTGGGTTTGAACCAAACAATATATTACAAATTGTAGGATTTGTCATCCTACAATAATGTTGAACCAAACGAAAGTTAAAAAATCCCAAGGCATGAAAAAAACCTATGGATTTCAAATCCCCTATGGGATTACAAATTCTATAATTTTGACATTTGAACCAAACACCCCCTAATTCAATTATCTACATGAAGCATATGCCTTGAATTCCTCTGTGGAGAATTTTTTTAAAAAAAAGATCCTTTTTGAAACTTGTTAGCAAAATCGACATTTTTTTTATATAATTAGCAAAATCAATCTCTAGCTGGCCAAAAAGAGGTCGGTTTTGTAAAAAATAAAACTTTAAAATACACAAGACTACTAGTTCTGTGCATTTAGTGATGCCCAATTACACCCTAATAAAATTTAATTAGTCTCGTGTATTTTTTAAAGTTTAATTAGCATGTGATTAACTAACACTAATTATATGGACTATTAGTCCTATGTATTTTAAAAACTATATTTTGCAAAATCACAAAAAAGAGAGCGATTTTGCTAATAAAGTTTCAAAAACGGTGTTTTTTAAAAAAATTCCCGTCCTCCTTTTGTCGGTGTCTATAACATTAACTAAAATTTGACGTTAAATTTTAAATTTAAGCTTCAATTTTAAGTCTTAACCGGACACAATCACAGATAGTTTGACGTCAATTTATACATCTACTGTCTGTTATTAAAGTTGTTCAATTTATTTAAAAAAGCCACAACACTATACCCCTACCTCAATTAACCGTACCAGAAACTGAGAAACTTATTACACTGAGCTCAAATCATCTACATATTCTTTTCCCTATACTTCTCGCCACTAAATCTGAAGCCCGAATAGCCGAAGCTGCAGTCACAAAGGGCTCAGGAAATTGAAGCGAAGATCTAAATTCAACCATTCGAGACCTCAGATTTGTCCAAATAGCAGTAGACAATGAACAGATTAGCCGAAAGAGGACTTTGATGGTGTGAGTTATATATAACGTAAGTATACATTGCAACACAAACAATAACAACTATAAAAAGGCAGCAGCAACCAAAGAATAAACAAGTGAACTTCTAAATTGATTCAACTGCGATGTTCTCACAAACACAAGCAAAACCAGCAACCACAAATAGGTGTCCATAAGAACTAAGGAAAGAATAGTCCGAAGAGAAAATGATACTGGGGTAAAGCTTGATAGGCACTCATACATGTCATAAAAGTCAAAAATTCCTTTTGAGAAAACAAACATTCTCAAAAGTGTTTCTGCTTCGTAAGTAGTACTCAATTTAGCTCTTGCCAGCTTGCTTTTCCTTGACCTTCTGGATCTTCAAAACTTTCTTCACAATTTTCTGCTCCTCTACCAAAAAGGCTCGGATGATTCTAAAACATCGAGAAAGAGAAGGCATCAGCTATAAGAGAACAGAATCCAAGAAGAAATCATCAAGGAAGAAGATTAGCATGATAATAACTGACCTCTCCTTCACAGCGCTACCAGATAGAACACCGCCATAGGCACGATTCACTGTCCTCCTGTTCCTTGCTAACCTAGACCTCTTGTACTCAGTGGGTCTAAGATGAGGAATCTGGTAGTAGGAAAGAGATTAAGATTATGCAAAATGTAGGAGATAAAGTAATTAAATGAACTCAAACAACATATAGTATGACTATGATCACAGAAGTTTCAAAAGTCAGTAACTGATACGGTTCATGTGTCACACAGGGAAGGAAAAGAAAGAACTACTTATATGCAGAGCAGAGAAGAACTTTACAATCCCTGGTCATGTTCAGTCGCCAACCACTCTGGATAAATTTTCTTTATGGCTTCTAAGGTTTTCAAAAGCCAGATGCAAGACAATGTTCCTCAAAACCTTTTTAGACTCAATACACTGCCA